GGTTAAGTGTCTCTGCTACAGTACAGTATGTCTGGAGCTCTTTCCAGTTTAAGAGCACCAGGTCAGGAGATGGGTTCTGTGATGTGTCCTTTGCAACTATATTGCAATAGGTAGCTCTTGCCAGGCCAGATATTGGCTTGGGGTGGCCTAAGAGGTTTATGGTTGGTTCAAGAAGACCAGGTCGGTATATTAGAATAGAGCTCGAGTTACAGTAGTTCTTTCTCTTTCAGAGGGAAGGAAGAAGCAAAACATTGTGAACAAGTTCCACCTTTCTGCAGATCTAGGACATTTCAGGCACTTTGGACTGGAATATAGCAGGTATTGACGATAATATAAGGGAATAGAAGTGACCATTGTGGGGGAAGGATTGGGTTTTTTATATATTTAAGGGAACTTTAATCTCTACATAGTATGTTCCAAGTAGAGTTTGTATCTCTGGAATGCTTCATTATGATGCACAACATCCTGTAGCAATTTCTTTATAATGCACAGTGTAACCTGAAGCTGAGGGCACAAGTGGAAACTACAGTATGTGAAAGGGTATTTAAAATCAAGACTTTATTTACCCAAAGTGCTGTGTGATTTAGCATTCAGTTAAAACAATTAATTAGTTTGCAATTAATAACAACAGCCATGTTGATGAAGCCAATATCCTGGTTTCTTTCAAGAAATAGCTGGATATGATCCTTGCCTAAACTGAACATAGTTATTCTTTTGTTGAGAGTGACCCCAATACAAATTTCAACTACTCGTTTTTGTAGGGTTTATTTTGTGATCATTATCTCAATACTCATCACAAAATGAAAAGATCATTGAAGCATGAGTGGCTAAATGTAATTAAATTTAATTTAATTTAACATGCCATAAAATTTTAAAGTGTACCATATTTCATTAAATTAAAATTTAAGAACAATATCCAAGGCTCAGATTAGGTCGTTTGTTTAGTAGGAGTTGACTGATCTGAGGACCTTGTACAGCTGTTTCCTGAAAGAGGTCAAGATACCAGTTTCAATAACGAGGATGGGTACCTTTCTGGAAACTCCCACAACCTCCCAATTCCATTTCCTGAACCAATGCATGATAAAACATACATAAAGTCAGTAATTTGTCCTTTACTCTCATGCAGTTTAAAAAAGTATAAACACAAATTACAATGCATTTATTTCCATGAATTTAAATGTATTGTTTTTGCACTTTAAAATTAAAGAGCAAAACCACACTACTGTATATCAAAGAACTAAAAAATGGCAAACCCCATCCACTAAAAAAACAGTTTGCTTCTTTACCCCCTGTTGGTACAATGAATGCACCCCCTACTTTGCAATCAACACCTATTACAACCCACTAATTACACCAGTTCTTTGAAATAATAATCATTGTAGGTTTCTGTCAGAAAACTAGTTATCAAGAGAACGAGCTATATTTAAGCTGAATAAATGTATCTGTAAAAGAAATGAAACAATCAGCCCAACATAAATTCTCAGCTATATTAATCTCAAGGAGTCTAACAATCTCTAGTTTCAAAGGTGCAAACATGATGACTGTTCAGGAATAGGACCATCACATGATAACAAAAACATAAAGAATGAATAACTGTTGCATATTGTGGAGGACTCCCCTTCAATGAGCCTGGAAAATCCAGCATCTAGATGTCAGAACACACTGCTTACTACTGATGACTTAAACCCAAGTTGCAGTTGAATTCATTTTTGGTGTTGTATTCCACTTACATAATACATCACATTACCTACAATATTAGACGAGACACAGCTAACATTTGATGTTAATTCACAACTTCCTCTTTATTTAAATTTTAAGCTTTTAAATATCGTAGCGCCTTCATCAGGCAGTGATGGGGCACCGAGCAGACAAGCAATGGGGCTGGTGATGACAACCCCAGGAGAGCATGCTGGGATAAATTCGGAACTTGTCAGGAATAGTTAGGAACTATCAGGGACATTGATAACTCCTGGGACTTGGGTGGCGGTGGAGGAGGGCAGGAGTTTGTGGACATGTTATGTGAGTGTACTGTACATGTGTGCCTGTCTCATGTTTCCCCATCCTGATCTGTGGTCTCACCCTGATATACCTGGCTTCTGTTAGTCAGGACACCCATCTTTGCACTGCATTATAGTGGTTTGCTTTTTGCTGGTTGGTGAAAGTGGTCTTTTTAAACTCTCATTCCTTCTCTTTATTGCCCAGGTTTAATATGTATTAACAATTTGTTTGACTTTTTAATTGCTTCCCTGTGTTGTCTGGAAGATGTAATGTAAACCATGTACTAACAGAAAAAAGTATCTCCTTATAGCTCAGCTTCTTCTGTTTTGTATTTCTACTTCACATCTTTACTACCTGCATTCAATACCTTGTTCTTGGTTATGTTAAATGTCATCTGCTACACATTTTCGCCAAGTCCTAAAATTCATTTTCTGCTGCTTCTACTAATTCAGTACCATCTGCAGACTAGTTTACAAACTGTTCTGGGATCTAGATCATTGATAGAAAAGAGCAGTGCTCCTAGTACAGATCCTTGCAGTACTCCATCACTTAAGTCTTGAGATGTAGATGTCACCAGCATCCATCTTGGCACCACTATGTTCACTCTCACTTTGTTCTTTGTTCTTCTGAGACTTTCTGCATCCCATCTCACTCTTTCACTGAAATTTGTGAATAACTCACATTGCAATCAGGGAAGCACCACAGTGGTTCTAATAGTGTTGATAGTGCAAAGAAGAAACATGTTATTGAATTTGATCAGAAAATTAGCGTAATCCTCTTTACTTCCTATCAATGCAAATTATGGATTATCCAAACAATACAATTTACACATTAATATTTATAAGTAGTATTTTTGCAAATGGTTCATTTGATCAAAGTCTAATATTTTCTCTCTAAGAAATGTCAAAGGAGGCTGGCATTTAACTATAAGAGATACCCATTTATCCAATGGGACTGCATATTGCATTTGAATTTAAACTTAATTTGCCTTTGCCAATGAATACTGTCATAATATTTTATTTCCTAAGAACTCTTTTCTCTCTTGCAGGTCTAGTTTATTTACTTTTCCACCGGCCATTTATGTTCACTGTAATCTATATGTGCATCGCCATCAGGATGAAGTAAGTAGAAAGCTATATTGAAGCTACATTTTGAAGTTAAGAAAACCCTTGTAAAAAAAAAGTGTTTTCACAAAGCAGAAACTCCACTTAATCTGAATTATGGCCCCTTTTATGTTTTTGATCTCAGCTTTAATAATGTAGTATGGTAGATTTGGTGCTAAAAAAAAGTTAAAATTGAAAGGTTTCTGTGATGCACAGTTTGTCTCATTCTACACATCATTTTTATACCAATATTTAAAATAATATTTATGATGAGCTAAATATATTCTAGTATATATTTTAAATCAGCAGAGAAGAATACAGCGCACAATATGGTGGACAGTTCCAATTAGTAAAGACAAGATTCCTGAAAGGTCCCAAGATTAGGAATGGCATAGTTAGACATAGTAAAGTTAATTAAACTGGAATAACATGGCAATAAAGGCTGACTCTTTCTTTTATTAAATAACGTGTAATGGAGGAAATAAGTGTCCCAGTTTTGTCATGGCATGTACCTTGAACTTTAATACAGAATAAATAAGGAAAAACAATTTCTAAGAGAAGCCTCCTCTAGGAAAAGTCCTGAAAACTGAAAACGTGACAATGTGACAATGTGAGCTAGATGGAGAACGACAGCATGATGAATGATAGCAAAGGCAACAGGCAGAGAGTACGCAGTCGACAGGGGGAAAGCCTTTATTACCAGTGAAGTCTGAAAACCGCCAGGAACAACATCAAAAACCAACTGCAGAACAGAGAAGAGAGCTAAGATGTACTGTAACTATGATCTGAACTCAACAAGATACTTTGTTATCATGATACGCATGAAAAACAGATTAAAAACTTAACTATGTGGGAGAATCTGCATTAAAAAACAAGGCTTCCCAAAATTTTCCTTAATATCCTTCACATTAATATGTGAAGAAGAAAACACATTTTCTGTCTGTCATGGAAGTGGTTAAGGAGACAACTGGTGTTCCTCAGGGAGCAGGGATGTGGTCAGCCCCGTGTTTCCATGATAACACACTAACACTTATCACTTTGCCAACAAACACAATCATTTCATTCAGAAACCAGAAATATCATTCCACAAACAATCCCGTGACGCTTAAACACCATAGATGAGTTCATGTGTATGCAGTCGCATGCTGCATAACAGCATTCCGCTAAACAATACAACCAGCCTTACCGTTTTTATCTGCTCTCCTCAAGATCTGAAACAACAAAGTAGGAAGAGAACCTTTAGTAAACATTTTCGTTAAGTTAACGAAAAATAAGTTTTGGTTGTTCTACTCAAAGACGCTGGTGAACTAAATTATTGATCAAATAAATATGAGAAACTTTCTTTGAATATGTAAATCAGTCAGCTATCTATGTGACAAAAAAACAGAGAGGAATTCAACAGAAGGATTCATGTCACTCATTTACTGCATTTTCAGCCCCCAAACCAGCCCCAATCTGCATCCATGGGAACATGTACAGTTCATCTGCAGGTAAAACAGAATTGGTAGTACTAACAAAAGGTAAGAAAACCAAATGAATCACCATTAATTACAGACCTGTACACTGCTTCTGGCATCTTAATTAAAGAAACACTAAAGGCTTCCCACAGAGTAGTCTGAGTCACACAAAAGACCAGACTTACAGAACGCAGTTTTTAACAAACGCTTCTTAAACCCTCAGATACGCTGACACGATTTCATTTTAAAACATCTGTGTAGAGTAACAACACATGCGTCACATTGAATCTGGTTACAATGAATAAAACCATGGCAGTCTCTTGCAATGAATATTAAATAAACCTAAATGTTATTCTGTCCAGATAAAGGGAAGCTAAATGGAACCAGATCTCGAAAACAGTGGCTGAGTGCAGTTCTTATTTTCCTTTGTGGTTTTTGCTTTCTTTTTTTTTTTTGGATGACTATTTTGTTTTAAAGACATAGTTTTGCTTGATGGCCTTACGCTGCTGTCTAATATTCTGTCTTTCAATTGTCTTGGTCTAATCGTATTTGCCAGGCAGAAGGCCGTTTGCTCTCCTCTTAATGACACTGTTAATGTTTTTAACCAGCTCGTGAAGTCAGGACAAAGTAAATGTACACGCTGTGGATCTTCTTTGCTGCCCAGAAACTCTTCTCTTTCTATCACTCCTGTTTTAACTGGCAAACTCATCGGAATACATTTCCCTCCCTTTCCCATCTGTCTCTCTTGATTCTTTCATGCACTGTAGCTCCCGTCTTTTCCGTAACCTCTGATCCAGTGTCTTGCTTTCTCATCGTCGAAATGCTTTCCTCCACCGTCCCCAGATTGGATCAGTTTAACACCAATTTATGTAAAAGCATTCCGAACCGATAAAACAGGCAGTATAAAACGGAACAATTTACAATATAATCCATGAATAAACTAAACAATCTGTAATTAAGCGAACAATCATTTTCAAATCAGATTCACATAAAACATGAATAGCACCCTATTGGTATTTTTTTTTTATTTGAATCTGGATTAGTTTATAATAAAACATTAAATTTGATGCGGTTTGCGTAGCTGAATTTCGCAAAATGGGTGCTGACTGGGGTGGCACTCTTTTTAAAGATTGTCTTTTTCAAGTCTGAAACATTTTTCTTCGTCCTATGACTTTTTAATATTTTGTATTATGTTAATATGTGTATATTTTATAATAGAACAAATGGTTTCTAGAACATCTCTTAGTTTTCAAATCATGTAACAGGTGGTGAGCGATTGGGGTAAATGATCAGCATTATTTATAAGAAGTGGTATACTTGTCTTTCCTCAAGCTTTTCATATATCCTGCGCATCTTAATACGGTGATATATCTTTAATCACACTTCAGCAATCTCCTAAGAAGTAAATATGGACACGAACTATTCCCGTTTACTGAGCTTACTGTAACTTAATACGTACCAATAAAAACACATTTTCTATCCCACAGCTGTACTGTCCCTTCTGAAACCTTGGTTTTCGCGTTGATATCGAGTAGGCATCACGTAGAGTATATTTGAAATGAATACTGACCAGTTTGATTAGCATCAGTTCATTCCAATAAACATTCAAAGTGCTTCAAACGGAGGTTAAACACAATGCCCATCTTATTTTAAAAACTTTGATGTACATGGGTTGACGAGGGTGTTACATTGAATACATTATTATTATTATTATTATTATTATTATTATTATTATTATTATTATTATTATTATTATTAAGGGATACCATTGATTTCCTTCTGTAGTTGTTTGATGTTAGACGACGATTCTACTGTTCAAACGACATAATAAAACCGGGTACTTGTTGCGAAATATTTCAGCGGTCGCCGAAGACTTACTTTCATACCGCACTGAAGACCCTAAGATTTTTCACAATTAAAAAGGAGATATTACCACGTTATGTAAACTGCTTTTAACAGGACTGCATAAACCCACTATTCTGGTTCTTACTTGTTGCTTTCCATTCACCTCGACTCATCATTGCACAATGACATCCGTTCGCATCAATTCGACAGTTAAAATCAATTACACTGTAAATGGTAATTGTTGATTTCATTTTTACTTACATCGAGGAAAATTGACATGCCTTTCTTCAGCCCAGTTGGGGAGCTTGCTTCATCCGAGAACGATTGCACTTCTTCTGAGCAATCCATGTCTTCCAGCAGATAAAACCTGCCTTTTCGAAACGAAGCCCCCTTTGATTGGTGATGAGGGAGATTTTTATTTTCGCTTTAACTACTGACAAGTCAACACAATGTAATTCAACGACGGGTGTACTACACATCAAACAAACCGACGGCTGTTGTGCAGCGGGGCGCGTCTGGATTCGTGTTTCTGCAGCGATTTGTGAAGCGCGCCTTCCTGCCTTGTGCAGTTGCAGTCAGATACAGTATAGTGGTGTGTGACAGGCTCATTCACAAATGCAGAATATGTCTTTTGCTCCTCACAGGAAAAATGCAGTTCTTCATTTTCAGTTCTTCATCCAGAACAATTATGAAGCCTTTAGCTTTCAAATTAGCTTTAAATACACTGTATATTAATAATTCTATTGTAAGGGTTTCTTTTTTTCCCCCGGGAATAAAGGTCCTTTTTGATTGCGCAGTTAGTGCACAAAATTAACTAGAAAAAAATGGCTCTTGAAGAAAGTTTTGGATCTTAATTTATAATCTTCTCTTGGAACATTTGAATGACTTTATAAATGTAATTTTAAGGCTGATGGTGACAGATTCTTGGTCTATTTTATGATTTAATTGTATTCTGCTTTCGGCTATTTGATATTGAGGTCGCGGCTGTATTGCAACCCTGTGGGATGTCTCTTCAGGGTCATCTGGCTGTGAGAGCTGTCCTTACAGAAAGACAAAGCCCTTGCTCTGGGAGGCACAGAGTTTAACAGGACTCACAGCAATGGGCTCTGTAGGAAAATCAACCCAAAGCTCTGGCTCAGAGTGACTCATTCTCTGACAAACATGCCTTTAATGTCTGGGTCAATAGTAACCGCTGAACAAACAGAGGGAAAATATCTATAAAGGTGACACAGGCTAGTGCCCAAACGACAGTAGGTACAGAGGTGTAAAGGAACAAGTAATAGGTTTATTCCATGCTGAAAAAAAAGAAGAAAGAAAAAACAACGTTTCGGCCGTGGAGCCTTCTTTAGCTGTGAGAAAGACAGGGCAGTAAGCAAAGGTAATGTAGCGGGAGAACAAAGGTGTAGAGATGTGTAGAGTACATGGCCTGATGTCCTTTGTTTAGGTTTTTGGGCCCTGAGTGAAAACAGAAGGATCATCCAAGATCACAGGACACGACGGACACTTAGTTGGTGTTGCCACTTTATCATCTGTGGATTTTTGTGTTTGGATTTCTTACAGAGGAGAACATTTTTGCCCATTAAATCGATCAGAAAAGAGAGTGGTTTGATAGATGTTTGAGAGGCATTATGGTGGGCGTCTTCATTTTGGCCAGACGGACAAAAAGGACAATAAGTGTTTACGTGAATGTGGAAGGTTTCTTTCTGTTTGTCCAGTAACGATATCACAGGAGACAGTGGTGGCCGCAGGTGCCCTCACTTGGAAAACAGACATACTGTACTATAGGACCAGATTTCCTAAACCATCTTCGCATCAAAAACACCAGGCCGTAATAATTGTGAATTTGCCGGCATAAGATTGTAAAGATCAAGGAGATTCAGTCTTTGGCGATACAACAGTATTCATAAAATAATAAGTGTATTTATGATAAATTCTTCCTTTGAAGTGGAAAACAAGGTGTGCTTTGAAGCAGACATAATGCATTTGTGTTTAAAGGAGATGCAAGCAAAAGCCATTTGCGCTTCCTTAAACCTTTGTCAGGAAATATCTTTAAAGATCTGGCACATTTTGTATGTAAATATTTCGGTTATATGTTGATTCAATGTGGTATTCATAAAATACTACTCAAAAGGATGCACAGAAATGTACGATAATGTAGGTTTTGTTACTTTTATTGTCAAGAACGAACATAGCTACTATGATTTCATTGTACTTCATGCTTCTGTTTGACCTATTTGTTCACTGAAAGATTAACATTGTCCTTCAAATTCACATACAGTTTGTAATATTTTATACTGGGTGAAGTGTAATATATATATATACAGTATTACACATATTACATACAATATATTGAATATACAGTATATGAAGTGTATATATTCCAACAACAGGTTGCAGAGTTCTATTAGAGTATGTATTACTCTTAATGTACTGTAGGTAATTTAGGCAAAGCAATATTCTTCTTACAAGAATTTTCATCTTGGCATGGCAAATAAAGGGCTTGATTTTCAACAAATGTAGGTGTTGTTATTCATTTTTTTCTTGCATGTATAAACTTCATTCAACATTTAAAGTGGAAAAATGTTGAAAGCTATATGTATAATATTACACTATTTTTAAAACTCCATTAAAGCCTTTTCTCACGATTGAGCAGCTTTTGAAAAATAATAACGATCTACTAAATTCAATACTCTGTGGCAAACACGAATCTACGAATAAATATGCTTTCTCCCATGTACAATACAGTATTAATAGCCATATCTTTCTTTATACAGTATAATATATAAAAATAAGGCTTTGTCTTTAAGATATTTGCAATTTTGACTATTTTGCGGAATACCCATAACCCATAGGCATTTCATCCTAATGAGGGTTGTGGCAGACAGAGGGTGGGACTACAATGTGGACAAGAGGACCAGACACTCCCCCCACAATTCATTGAACCTAGCCTGCATGGCATGAAATAAAAGTGCACACAGACAAGGAGAGAACATGCAGACTCCACACAGACAAGGAGAGAACATGCCAACTCCACACAGACAAGGAGAGCACACGCAGACTCCACACAGACAAGGAGAGAACATGCCAACTCCACACAGACAAGAAGAGAACATGCCAACTCCACACAGACAAGGAGAGCACACGCAGACTCCACACAGACAAGAAGAGAACATGCCAACTCCACACAGACAAGGAGAGAACATGCAGACTCCACACAGACAGGTGCCCCAATCTAGGAGGCAAGGACTGTCAAGCTTTGTTATTTTTAAACTGTATTCAGATTTGTTTGGATTCATAACTCGTGTATATTTAAAATAATCCATTTTAGAGCTCCCGTTTCCGATTTTACTTGTAAATATAGAGGGAATCAAACAGAACAACAGTTCCCTCTAGTGGGCGTTCAGCGTTTTTATGAAAATCGTAAGACATCTATGACTGTGCTGGGATAAAATTGAACGTCAAATGTAAATAGCCAAATTACTGTGGGGCGTAAGTACTTTTGCAAAATTGCATAAGGGCCTTCCAAAAGTGAAGTAGGTCTATAGCTTTCCCCTACTGCTTGTTGTTTTATTTGAAAACCATGGCCACTTCCTGAAGCTACTGACAGCTAAACTTGGAAATCAACCATTTTTAATAAAGGAATCTCTGCACTCCTGAATTTTGTGTCACTTGAGTGATAAGAAATTTAGGCATACTTCATTAATTGTATTAATTAATAAAGTGTATTAATCTAATTTAATTTTTTTTTGCACATTAATGTGTTTGCACAGTGGCACAGCTCATTAAAATGAGCACCCTTGACAAACCTAAAGCCAGGGCTCCTATTTCACCTGCTGGTGCATGCGAAATAAAGCTTGGTCATTAAATATTATTTGTGGAACCTGTTACCTCCAACCTCCCAGAGAAACATTAGCTTGGTTAATTTGTGTCTCTAGCCTGTCCCTGTGCCCTGTGATAAATAGGTGTCCGACACAGGATGTCCTGCCTTGTGCTCTAGGCTTCTAGGAAAGACACTGGATTGGATGACTGTTACCAGGAATGAGCAGCTTTCTGGTGTTTTTATTACGTCAGGGTGCTGTACTTGGATTTCCTACGTGACATTGTGCTATAAACGTTCTCTGGGGCGTTAGTTATTAGATTTCTCCTGCAGTGCATTCTACATAATTTAGCAGCTAAGACTTTGAAAGTAGATGTTATAGGAGAGCATCACTCAGTGTTGAGATAGTCAAACGCTGGACACTCCACTCCATTTTGCTAGAATTTAGCAAAATTGGATTTTTTATGTAATAAACTGACATATGTCTTTCACATATGAGGGATGTAATAGCAACAACTGGTCCTGGAAAGAACAGGACATTGACATTGCCTGACGAAGTAGCAGGTTAGAGACTTACAGTGATATTGAGAAAAGCAGTCCTTTAGAAGAGTGTGCTCTGTATAAGCAGAGATGGGAAACATCCACAGGACGTTTTTGTTTTGTTTGACTAACAAATGTGTTCGGTCCAGCTGTTTGCATAAAGAAAAGCAAAGAATGCAAAGCTGAATGCTTGCAGATGTCACGTAAAAAAGATGTCACAATATGCAGTTTTCATGGGAGCGTGTATCATTATATTTCTGTGACAAATATCCTTGTATGGGCATGCCTGGGTTTGGGATTTCCATAATCATGCACTTGGAATGTTTATAACAATTGATTTAAAACACACATAATTTTGCATTCCTGAAGAACACATTTCATGGATTTAAATATATTGTATTTTCTGTCTTAAAAGCATAAAGAATTATGGATTCAAGTAATTAAAGATTTGGTTTCAAGTCAATTAACTGGAGCTTTGAAAAGCTCAGAAATAGTGCAATAAGATGCTGGAGAGTCTTCATTGTGTTGGACTCTATTACTGTATGTAGTGTAGCGAATTCAATTGTTGTTGTTGTTGTTGTTGTTGTTGTTGTTGTTGTTGTTGTTGTTGTTGTTGTTGTTGTTGTTGTTGTTGTTGTTGTTGTTGTTGTTGTTGTTGTTCCTACAGGTGTGCAGGAAGTGTAGGTTCTACAATAGGCTAAAATTATATGAAAATAAAGGAGAAACCAAAATCCACATCTACTTTAAGCCTGGTATTTTCTCTATTCTTCCATTTTCCCCCTCTTGAACTCTTGTCTCTGACTATTAAACAGTCATTCTAACTCCCAAACTGAGTAAATAATAAAAAAGAGGGAATATTGCAAGTTAAGGTTAATTCCAGAGAGAACTAGGAGGAAAAAAACTACAAAACAAATATGTAAATCATGTAACTATATTGTATAATAGCTGACCTGCAGTATTTATTTTACTAATAGATGAGGATTTTGAGGAACCTTGTCAGTTAAATAACAGGAGCTGTATTGCTGTATTTTAGCATACTGGTTGAAAAAGAAACAAATTGTTTCAGCTGTGAGGCCTTCTCCAGCCTCCCTGCATTGATTCTTCTGTTTCATACTCAGTATTAACTCCAACATGTTCCTTTCCAATAGGGTTTCCATATTAAGTGAGCCATGTTTTTATTTGTCAAACATTTTAGAAGTGTCAGAAAATTACAGTGCTTAACTTAATCACTTCATGAAGGCAGGAAATGCAGGGGAGACCCTCGGCACGATCAGAATACGTTTCTACGGTACAAAAGGATGGGAAACTGAGGCAAATATTTAGATAAGCAGCTCCATTTATGAACCATGAAGCTGTTTCAGCATTTTGTTAAAATGGGAAAAGAGCAATGAAACAAGGGCAGAGAGGGTAAAAGCAAATATGCTTCTCAAGCTAAAGCTTGAATTTATTCAGACTAGGGCTTCCTTTTTAAAAGGGGTGCTCACACGCATCCACTGGTATTTCATGGGCATGTTTGTATTTGGAGATAAAACTCTGTAGGCTCAGACATCTGTATTAATGAAATCCTTTATAAAAGAGAGGTTGTGCTGAATCATCACTCTCCACTCAGGCAGTACAGTCTGCACCACCCGTGCTGCTTATCAGAGCTGTCAGTGTTAGATTATAATAGCAATGGCACAATACAGTCTGTAAGTAAAGATATCTATCTCTATTGGTTTGTGTATGTTTTTAAGATAACACGTATAAATAATCATTTTAAGACTTAAAGTCATTATGTTTTTTTCAAACATGTATTTACACAGTAATGTTCTCACCTGCAGGTTTCAATCTGTATTTGTGTATATAATACGTCACCCTAGATAAGGGCATCTGTTAAGCACATTTATTTAAAAGTAAGACATTTTCTTCATAATTAGAGGACTTAATAATTACAATATTTTGCAGATGTCATGATTTACTTAATTTCAATAAACAAATAAAATAAGATCACTTAATCACAACACACAAATAAAACACAAAGAATGTAAGTTAAGTCATTCTCAAAGTAGAGATTTGCATTATAATATATATTATGAATAGTTGATCTTGCTTTTCTTATTATCACAAATGCTTAACATTGTACTAGCCTAGACAGGATATAGATTCATTCAATAATGTTGAATAAAACTAATAATGAAATGGCACTTACTGTACATACAGTAGCATAAGAATAAGAATTGTGAAAATGGTTAGAACCGTAATCTAACTCTATATTGAGATGACATTGTTTAAAAAATTGTTTTAAAAAATGACTGCACTTACAGTACAATGTTCATTTAAAAACACACAAAAAATAAATTTGCAGCTAACCAGGGCTAACATACTGCATATTTGATTAAATTTAACAATTGCTTTGTCAGGCAGTGCAACCTTATTAGTTTCCAACCTGCTGTTGTCAGAAGTTAAAAAAAACGGGACCTTTCCATTTGAGTGTTCTTAGCATCTGTCATCCAGAAGAAAAAAGATCTGGGCCTGTTACAAACAAAGAATTGACAGAAGGAAAGGTACAGTCTTACCCCTCAGCTTTACGAGCACCTGAACTGAAAATATCTAACATATTGGCTTTATTGGCTTTAACTTCACAGACATTTAGCTGCCAGAAGAGTATGTGCCAAGCCACAGTTAATCATGTTAACCCTGCCTCTGAGAGAAGGGAAACAGGCAGGTCCCAAAACCCCTCAACTTACTGGACACGTATTCTGTCTGAGATACAGCTTTCAGCTTCAACCCTGCCTGAATTGGGTGTAATTAAAATGAAACTTCAAAAAATCTACCATGAAGATTGAGTCGGAAAAGTAGGCATACAGGTACTGTACGTTAGTTGGCTTCTGGGAAAACTGGTCCTGGTGTGAGTGCATGTCTGTATCTGCCCTGTGATGGACTGGCATCCCACCTAGGGTTATCCCACCTTATTCTCATTGCTTGCACAGATAAGCACTGACTCCTGTGTGACCCCTTATGGGATGAAGTGATTTGAAAAAGGGTGGATGGTTTGTTAAAAAATAAAGGAGAAAAAATGACACAAATCTTTACATAACTTCAGTGAGGAAAGCACTGAACCTAGCCCAAACACAATTATAAAAATACTTAATACTTTTGTTTCACCTTCTGCTGTTTAAAAAAAACATGATCATCTGACATTTGTATTGTCTCATACACTTTTGCGATAGTTCGGTAATATTTTTTCAGGCTCCAGATGGTGTCTTATCTGTGAATGTGCAATTAGCTGATGGAGCTCAACGAGAGTCATCTGCTCTCTCGGTGATCAGTGTAGGAAGTTTAAGGTAAAAAGGTTATAAAGTTATGTGAAGTTACTTCCAGTTTTCGGGCATGCCTGGTACTCCTTAAATTATAGCCAACCAGTATGCCAGTCATTACATTGTGTGGGCAAACATGCTCTACCTCGATCTTTTTAGCTAATGTCTTTGAAATTAAGTATTTTCGTTTACAGCATTTTTAAAAGACCATACACTAATGAAAAAAGATCTATAGGTTGATGATTTGGAGGAATCTGGACAATGACATATGGCCAAGAAGAGGGTCAGCTGATGTAGCCCGAAGTGTGCATGTCCTGCCCAGAAGCTGCAGGAGTCCACTGGCACGTACAGAGCAAGGTTACAGTGTCATTACTCCCTCAGGTGGTGTTGCCACTATTCACCCAGTATTGCGGTGTAATCTCTCAGTAACCCCTGGGGCACTGTTGGGAGACACCCAGGTGAAAAGCCATAGGGGATTCCTGATTCCAAATGTTATTTAGGACCAGCACAGGACCTGTGTTTGACACAAGGGGAAGCCTCGCAGACAACAGTTTCATGGAAAGCACGAAACACTCAACTAACACTGGGAAGGTTTGACCTGAAAGCCATTATATTATTTCAGAGAGCCTCACCTCCAGCCCTCCCTAGGGTCTATAGAGACCACTGTCACTGAAGCTTTCCTCAGCAGTGTTCTGTTTGGAGGGGTAGCTTGTTTGAAGCTGTTCTGATCCTTCGGGCTCTGTGAACTGGGTACCTGGATATGTGACTGAAAGTCACAAGTGTGAATATTGACTATCACTGACAGGACAGGGTATGAGTAAAACAGCCTGGACAGCCTGGTCAGGGCACTGATGTTAAGCATCGGGGTGGTCACAGTATACTTCCCCTGCGTCTGGGGGTACATCCTTGCTCACCGCGGCAACATATAAAGGAGAGGGGCAAAGTTCACAGAGCCTATACTGTACACTGCATTCTCAAACACAAAGTATGCAACATAAATATTCATTCTATTGAAGTCTGACCACTCTAAGAACAAATATTTCTCTTGCATATTTATAAATACTATTATTATTATTTTCGTTTGCATTCCCATGGTTATGATAATATGCCTTCCTTACTTTCAGGGTGACTGCTAACGTCTTTTCGCCACGCAACTACATCTCCCGTCGACAAGAACACGGCCATCTTCAGTGGCTGAAGTCTCGCGGGCGGGACTCGCGATCCTCCGCTCTGCTGTCACGTGAGATGGGTCCTTTTTTTTTCAAACAAAACGGGCAAAATAGGGGTCACGTGGAGGGGTACTTGGGATTCTGGGAAAACAAACATCAGCTCTGAATAGCTGACACTGGTGGTACTGTAGGCAGGGAGCAGAGCATCACAACTTTTGTGCTCATTAAATTTATTTTTTTTTTTACAAGCAGGAGACAACTGCCGCAACTCGAGGGCGACTCTGACGTGAATAAGTGACATGAAGTAAATGGGAACGAGGGTCAAAAAGAGGTGACGTGTGACAAGGAGCAGGGGCGACCTACTCATAAACTTGGAAGAGCTCTGTGATTTGCCACATCCTCAGGATTTTTCTTTTCAAGCCCATCTTCTTGCACTTTCAGTACTCTGTTCGTCCCAATGGTCCTGGGGCGATCTGTTTGGTGCGTCGGATTGCGATAGAGAGGGAGACTATGGAGGTCTGCACATCGGAGAAACAGCACGAAGATGTGAAGCGCGCACCCCTGGATTGGAATAATTCACGATTCGTGTCTCCCCGAGAAGGAGATCGTCCAGGAAAGGAAACTAAAGGAGCGGATTAATGTGTTAATAATCGGTTAGCCTGTAGCTGATGATCGCCTTCCGCGATGTAATTAATAAAGATTTGTGGTGCACCAGTTATGGTCTTAGGACATTTTGGGGTTTGTTTTTTTAACAGTTTTTGGGTATGTCTTAAGATCTGTAATACACAATAATGCCCATGTAAAAGCAACGACCGCATGAAGTTAACATAAAGAAAGGGGGTTGCCAGAGACGCAGCGGACGGGCTGTTTGTGGTGGAGCATTTATTTGAGCAGGTCCCCGGAGTCGGGGCTGCCTCAGCGTATCCGGGCGAGGCGACGGTCGTCCAAGATGTGGAGTCTGGCGCTGACGGCTCTGCAGGTCCTCGTAAAAGCTCTGAAACACACGGCCGGCAAAAGCCAGCTCGTCGTCAACCGCTGGCTGCAGAGGTCTGCCCCCGATGCGATGGACTGCGAGAAGATGGAGATCTTGATCTGCAGCGGCTACGACGAGAGAGCCGCGGGTGCGAAGCCCGACCTGGACTCGCAGGGCGACGGCGGCGGTGAAGCCGGGGTCTGTTTTTTCGGGGAGTTCAGAAACCCGTGCTGCCTCACGACTTTCTGCTGCAAGAGCGCCCTGCTGGCCTTCATTCTGGCACTTGTGTGCTTTTCCTCGCTGGCCCTGGTGCGCCAGTACCTCAAGGACTTGCTGGTTTGGCTGGAGGGCTTGGACAGCCTGGTCGGAGCCCTGCTGTTCATCCTCGGGCTGGTCGTGGTCTCTTTCCCCTGCGGCTGGGGCTACATCCTGCTCAACGTGGCCGCGGGCTACCTGTACGGCTTCGTCCTGGGCATGGGGCTGGTGATAGTCGGGGTTTTGATAGGGACTTTCGTCGCCCATGTGGTCTGCAAGAAGCTCCTGACCGAGTGGGTTTTGGCCAAGATCGAGAACAACGACCAGCTGAGCGCGGTCATCCGAGTGGTGGAAGGAGGGAGCGGACTTAAAATCGTTGCCTTAGCAAGACTCACGCCGATACCCTTTGGACTCCAAAATGCGGTGTTTTCAGTAAGTGATAACGCGTGTTCTGTGATAACATTCATCTTTACTAGGTCCTGATCTCATTGGCAGTGTTAATGTGTAACGCAGTAAAGACGGCTTTAGGACAGATAAGAGGACCTTAAAAAGAGGGGGGAAATTCTTCATATCTGGGCTCAACTCGGCACTACTGCAGTTGTGGTGATCGTGTAAACACAGTATGATGAAGCGACACGGTTAACGGTTCTGGCAAGTTGTACTTTTTCCAAGACAACCTTTGAACACCAACGCCGACGAGGAGTCATCCCACTACCACAGCAGCTGTGACTAATGCAGCATCACCTACGAGTCATTTGCGTAACTTCCCTCAGCTGAATCCCGTTACTACGTGTACTTAACATTTTTAAAACCCTTTTTCCACAAACTGGCTCACAGAGTTAAGTAGCTATGAAATACTGTTGTCGCTGCGGTTTGTTTAAACCCGCCGATTTCTGTAGCGGCTTATCCACTTTTTAAAGGCTTTGAAGGCTCCTAGAGGTTTCATATATTGACATGAATCCTGATCCTTTTGGGCAACAATTGTACTTGTTGAGCTGTTGCGTCGTGTTAGTGTCAGGCAGTGAGTGTTAAGCTTCTTCATTGCACTGGGGGGTCTGCTCTTTCTCGTGTGTTTGTAGAGAAACCCAACTTGCCAAAAGAAATTGTTTGGTAGTTTGATAGGTAGGAAACTTGACACAGGGTCCCCCAAGAGGCGCAAGACAAATGCTTGCTAATGAAGCTTTCTGCTTGGTCTGTTATGTGTTTCTTTTCCTGCTTTGACTGTCCACAGTAGTTTGTGAATTCCCCACCCAGTGTGCTTAAGAAATAAGTTAGCAATGTAGAATATGATGACAAAGTAGACCGTTAAATATTGTTTTCTTTTTTTAATGATTTAACCCTCTACCATACTTTTGATACACTGATTTATTTTGAATTATTTCCATGCATCTTGGGTGGGATGGCTAGAATCATTGCTCACCAAAAACACAAGGCCTCAAGAGCTAATGGATGACACTTTTGTTGAGAAACCAGTTACTAGTTAGGAGACCCTTAACTGGGGTGTATACACAATACCTGCTTCATAAGCTATGTCTGGGGGCGGGGGACTTGTTTAGGTGCATTCCACTCCCTGAGGTACAATTTCTGTTAATTATTTGAAGCTTAATTGCAGACTGTATGCCAGAGATGTTGGTGGAGTGGAGACCATTAGTTCATTTTCCTCCAATATCTTAAACTCTAGAGGAATGTTTCTTTTTGCTGTTTGAACTTGAATTACAGTACATGACCCTGCAAGAACATTTTCATATTTGCTAAACCCAAACATGATTGTGTTAGGATCTTGGATGTATTTTAACACCTGCTATATCCTTGATTATTATATTTTTCCTATGGAGACTAGTTTAAATTAGTTTGCAGTGTTTTCTCTGATAGAAGAGTGATAGTCAAAATTAATTCCTGCAAACACTTTAATTCCCTATGACTTGTTTGTTTTATAATTTATTAATTTTGCACAAAGTATGCATGCTTCGTGTTCTGGCTGAGCCCATTATCAAAGATCATAAGATATTTCTAGCTTGATTAGATTATATTCAGATATACTATTTTTTGCACGTAGTATGGAAATTTCATGTATTGGCTGAGCTCCTGACTGGGTCATTCTAATCAAAGATCAGATAATTCTAGTTTGATTAGATTAAGCTTGTTTGGTTTCTCTCTCTGAGATTTTCCTCTTTACGGAATTGGCGATGTAGTGAAAAATGCCTTCACTTTTCTGTGTGGTGCCCTGCACTTCAGTGGTGAAGAACAGTGAGTCCTCTGTTTTTTAAAGGCACTTTGGAAAAGCTCTGTGAGGTTGGTTCCCCTGCAACACCACAAACAGTGACTCCTAACATATTTCTGTGCTATGTTTATGCTGTTGAAAGTAGCGTTTGTGCTTTTTCAGTTCCTGAGATATTAGGCTGTTTTGTTTACTCATATTAAGTTATTACTTCTTATTGTGACTGCAGCATTATATCATCTTTCAGCTGGGGGTGGTGTATGATTTTAAAATCAAGTAGTGTTTTGTAATATATTAACATTTTTGTTTCAGTGGAATTATTCAGGTATTGAAATCTCAAGTTTTTTAATATGTATATGTATGGTATTATATACAGGTATTTGTGTTTCATGGTTGTTTCGTATGATGTCTGCTTCAAAGGAGTGGTTGGCACCACCTTGTTTCAAGATGGATATTATGTCTAGAACAAAATGTAGCTGCTCTGTGATCAGCAATGTATCCTCATTCCTCATCATTTTACTTCATTACAGGATTCAGTGATTTGCAAGCTGAGAGAGATGAGGACTGTAATACAAGTGACATTTATGCAATGCGGTCAGATATTCTATGATTGAAATTGAAATGATGCAAGTACCTATTTTTTGACAAATGACTAATTTACCCAAATATATTATAAAAACAATTGCTAATTAGAAGAACATGTGGAAGACATCCTTTCCAACATTTCAGACAACGTTTTGACCAATGGAATGCTTGTTCTTTCATTCAGAACCATTGAAATAGTCGACATTTGTGAGGTTTCACGTCCAATGTTGTTTTGCTGATTTGTTTTAAAATGCAGTTTACTTTTTCTATAATACCCGAATAGTGGTAACTTTTCTACATGCACGTGTAAGTGGCGCACAAAACACCACAACAGAACACCTTGATGCAAGCACGGTCTTTTCATTTGAGTATTTGCGTTCGTTTGCTAGTACTAATCCTTTAAAATATGCAATCCAAAAACAAACAAATGCTGGTTTCAACGGCACCAAAAAAACAAATAGGGAGTCCCTGTAGTCTATATTCCCCCGTATTACGTTAAAGACATTTTCCACAGTCCCCATAGGGAGATCTGCTACTTCCTGTACCAGGGAAATGTGCATGTCTGTGGTGACCTCAGTGCAAGCACTGGTGCACTGCAACAGCACACAGGGGAACCCTCATACAGTACATGTGCAGAGTCAGTCTGTACCACATCTTTCCTCCAATGTTGTTTTGTTGCTTTGTTTTGAAACGCAGTCGCGACAGTGAGGTGAAGAGAAATGGGTAGGAGTTCTTAGTGTAAATGGCATGGTTAAGAGGGGACTCTCTGGGAGGGTTCACTTACAGTTCAGGTCTGGGCAGGTGTGTGGTGGACAGTGCTGTCACTGTCCTGGACTACTCCTCTATTAGTGCATTCACTGTTAAGCCACAGACCACCTTCCTAACCACAGCCAGTTTAGAATGTGTACCACAAAAGCATACCAGCCCACAGACAGACTGACACAGCCCAGCAAGCTGTGTGGCCTTAACCAACCATATAGATGGGCTACAAACTGCCTCGAGGGATACCAAAGCACTGAATGGTCATAAACTCAGACATTATTGTGCACTGTAACAAACCAATAAAATAGGCATACATTTCACAATAAAAATGATGTATTTTGGAAATTCTCCTTGTTTAAGCAACGTGTATCGGAGAGGCAACTTCACAGGCTGAGAGACATCACCCGTGAAGGCTAGAAGGTGCTATTACTTGGGTAGGAAAGCAGCACAAATGCTGTTTTCAATTTCACAAAGCACCAAACGAATGAGACGGGCTCAGTTCACCCGAGCTGTTTGTGGGAGGGGGGCTGAGTGACCTTGTATCTCCGAAACGACACCAGCACAGACAGACCTGGTGGGTTTCGCTGATTGCTCTGTTTGCAGAGGGAGGCAACTTCACAGAAGCCCGTAGAACCCCCCCCCCCTGGAGAAAAGGTGCTGTGCAAGTGCAAGGAATCGCTACATTTGGGTTCCATTCTTTTTCCAAAAATGGAAAATAAATGGATTGTGCTCAACAGCCGTGTCTGTTAATGATAAGAAGAACAGTTTGATGTAATAACACAAGTTGGAAGCCATCACCAACTCCACTTACTTCAATAATTTCTTGAGGTCAGCCGTACTGCTGTAACGGATCTGCACGTGACTCTCTTGCCTGAAGTAGTCAAACAAATATTTTACATCGGTTAACAAAAATTGCTCCATTGCGAACGACCATTCAAATCAATAAAGCAGTCTCAAGCAGGAACACTGAATTCAAGCTGATAAACCTAACCTGATGTGAACGTTTCAGTATATTGAGCCTTTTGGAAGAAAGATGGCTTTCAGAAATCGGTACCGTTTTAAATGAGATTTCTCCTAAACAGCATCTCCCATTTTTGGTCAACCTGTGTTTTATTTTTAATTATTAAGCACAAATGGTATACAGTGTAGGCAAATGCTAAAATGCATTTGTTTAAGTGTATGAGAGAGGGGGGAGTTTATTTGCCATATGTATGTGCGCATTGGGATTCTTATTCACACTGTTCTCTTGGCTACAATACTGGTGGTGAATTATTGTAATTATAGGGTTTAAAAAACATTTTTTTCCATTCATTGTTATTTCGTATCTTTCCCTTATGTGAACAGGGTAAGGTTTCTTCCTCTAAGACCAAGAGCACACAGAACCTTATCAACAGCCTGCAGTTTGCATTCAGAGAAAAGAGTAGACAATGCAATACTTTTAAAATACTATTTTTAAATGCAGTGTATCAGCATCTTGATGAAGCATAGACTTTTGTAAGAATCGTATTGGTTATTTTTTTTGCTTTGCTTACAATATAATACAACCTCTGTTGGCAGCACAGAACCTATCAAGGAACTTCAGATTAAACAGTTACTTGATAAGGTGGGACCTAGACGTCTTACCAGACAGGTCTCATCGGGGAAATGGTTATCTGACATTCACCACTGGGTCACCACAGGGCTGTGTCTTTCCCCCCAGTGTTCGTTTCATATTGCACACTGACCATTGTAAGAACACACAGAAACGCATCTTATTGCATCTGCTGATGACACAGCCCTGGTCAGCTTATTAAAGGACCCAGGAAATCACAATTTAGAAAGGTTTAACAGAAACTTTTTATTTTCCCCTTGGGAAACCCAGCTACTT